TTCCTGAGCTGTGCTGCATCACTTGCCATAGCTTAGAAAAATCTTTCCTCCTTTATCTCTTATGACTTTGCTAAGTTTTTTTTTTTTAAAGGGGTCTTTCTAGGTTGGCCTCAAACTCATGTATTCACATGCTCTCCTCTCAGCTCTGGAAAGAGCAGGAATATAGATGTGTGTCGCTGTAGCCAGCCCCCTGCCTCTCTCCTTTCTTCCTTGCTTTCTGTGGCCCTGCAAATCCACGCTAGGCTCTACACACACCAGGAAAGTGCTCCACTATGGAGCCACACCTCTAGACTATCTTTGCTAATCCTGTGGGTGCGTGCATGTCGTGGTACTGGAAACTCAAATCAGGGCCTCTGCACTGAGCTATGTCCCTACCTCCTTTTTAAATACTGTGACAGGATGTCACTATAATTGCTAAGAGGCTCAGGCCAGGCTCAAGTACTGGGATTACAGATGTGCAGCGCCATGCCTGGCTGCTAAATCTTTCATAGTGATAAATAGAAATAATGAAAATATTATTCATTATTTCTCAAGCCCTCTTCCTCCTTGGGAAGGCTATGTAAAATCTTAAAAAACAAATAAAAATACATACAGGGGCTGGTGAGATGGCTCAGTGGTCTAAAGCACCTACTTAGAACAAGCTTAGCAAAGCACAGGGACCGCGGTTCAATCCCCCAGCCCCACATGCCAGCCAGCCGCGCCCCCTGGTGGGCTGAGCTGGCCACACACACACACACACACACACACACACACAAATAAATAAATAAAAAATAAATAAAAATAAAAATATATAGAGATACACACAAAAAAGTATTAAAGGATTCAAGGGAATGATACAAGGCAAGTTAGGACTGTAGTTTACCTCTGAAGAAGAAAGAAAGAATGAAGGAGGCTTTAGCTATATCAGCGTTTTCTTTTTTTTTTTTTCGGTACCGGGGATTGAACTCAGGACCCTGTGCTTGCCAGGCAAGCACTTATTCTACTGAGCTATCTCCCCAGCCGCTCTTAATTTCTTTTTTTTTAAGACAGGGTTTTGCTCTGTAGTTCATTCTGGCACTGAACTCACTGTATGTTCCAGGCTGACCTACTCATGGCATGCCTCCTGCCTCAGCCTCTCAAGTGCTGCAATTACAGGTGCATAAAACAATGCCCAATTATTTTTTTAAAGAAATGAAATAGCTAGGTGTGGTGGTACATGCCAGAAATCTCAGCACTTGGGAGGCTGAGATAGGAGGACTGCCTTGAGTTTGAGGCCAGCTTCAACTACACAGTGAGATCCTGTCTCAAAAAACAAAAGATAAGCTGGGTATGGTGGCACATGCCTGTAATCCCTAGCACTGGGGAAGGCTGAGGCAGGAAGATCAAGTGAGTTCAAGGCCACAGCCTAGGCTACACATGAGTTCAAGGCCAGCCTGGGCTACACAGTGAGACCTTGTTTCCAAACAAACAAAAATAAAAATAAATAAAAATATGAAGATAAAAATGGAAATTACTGGGCTGGTGAGATGGCTCAGTGGTTTAAAGCACCTACCTAGAACAAGCTAAGCAAAGCATAGGGACAGGGTTCAATCCCCCAGCACCACATGCCAGCCCGCCCCGCCCCCTGGTGGGCTGAGCTGGCCACACACACACACACACAAATAAATAAATTTTTTTTAAAAAATGGGAATTACTTACTAATTCTCTCTTTGCTTCTTCAATTTTCACTTGAGCAAGAGATGGATTCTTCCAAAGAAAAATATAAGAAAAGGTTATAGTGCTTAATTTCAGATTCAAAGGAGGAAAAAACACTGGAATCCCTTTCATAAAATTAAAAGAATTATAAGAAATAGTCAACATAAGCACAATACTGAAATTTACCACTGATTTTAAATCCTTAAGACATGAACCCACAATTTATTTATTTATTTTGGCGGAACTGGCGATTGAACTCAGGCCCTACTGAGCCATCTCACTGCCCCTGAACTCACAATTTTTTTTTGTTTTTAATTTAATTGAGAAACAAATAGCAATGAGACAGTTTCAAAACTGATTAATAGGACAGTTTCAATAATTAATACATTGTACATTGTTATCTTCTTACTGGTTATTCATAGTACAAGATGCAGACATGATATCCTGTCCAAATACTAATAGTACAAATCTTTCTTCTCATTGAATTAAGTGAAAGTAGCTATATATTTACCCTAACTATTTTGTATATACAGATACAAAATGGTCCTTCCTCTGTATCCCCCCCTTTTTTTTAGTCCTGTCAGAGACGGGTATTCCATTGGCATCTAAATACTATAGGTGCGTGAATTCAGCAAAACAATCCAACACAGTCCAGCAGTCCACAGTAGTAGTGGGTTATCTGTAGAAGTTGTTGACTTGAGCCTTTCATAGCTCAGCATATTAACATGGCTTTACTTTATATACCTCATTTTTCTACTTTTCTGCTGGATGGTTAAGACCAAGATAGAGTAAGAACTATATAACAAGAAATGTAACTTTTGTATCTGATAAGGTCAGTCAAGTACCCTCAGTGATTTGTGGTATTTCTGAAAGCTGATTAACAGGCCTTGCTGTTCATTTTTGTAGCAGTGTCCTCTGGAGACCAGTTGGGCAAAAAGGCTGAGATTTTGTTTTTTAAGTCAGTGTATACATTTCCAACTGAGCATTAAAAGTACCATGGAAGGGTTACTTTCTACCCAGATTTTGAACCCACAATTTTTATAATCATTTATTGCTGTCTCAGTTACTCTTCTCTTGTTGCTGGGATAAATACCTGCATCCAAAATGAAGGAAGGAAAAGGTTTATTTAGCTCATAATTACTGGAGGTTTCAGTCCATACTCAGCTGGCTCCATGGCAGACTGGCACATGGCAGAGGGCAGTAGTTCATGGCGGTAGAAAGCAGCAAAACAGCGAAGGGAGGAGTAGTGGCAACGGAGAGAAGAGTAACTGAGACTGAATTTGGTACCAAGTGGGGTTTCCATGGAAGAGGCTTCTCATGTACAGCTTTACACACTGCCTTCCCAGGGGCACACTTCCTGACCTTCCATGTCTTCTGAAATCTAGGTGGAAGCCTTAACTTCAGAACTCCTGCATTCAGTATGCACCTAAAACCAACACCACATGGATGATGCCAAGGTCTGCTGCCAGCTTCTCTCTTGGTTGTAGGGGGGTCAAGTGCCTGAATCGCTGAGCACTCTGACCCCGATTATGAGGAATAAATTCTCCATGCTGGTACCATTCTGGAACCTGGTGTGGCTGGTGCCACCATTCTGGAACATGGGGCTCAGGGGCTTTTTCCCCAGGGCAAAGTCCCTGACCTTTGCAATTCTGAGGCTGCAAAGAGTGGAGATTTGCTGCCTCCTGTTTTGCCCTCAGGCCATCCTTTTCATTCTCTGTTCCTTCTCAGCAATGGAGATCCTCTCAGCTCCATCTTTGCAGTCCACAGCTTTATTGGAACTTCCTTTCTGGCCAAACTCACAACATTTTAAATCATACTACTGGGTTCTTGATTCTCAACATAAATCTGACTAAAAGCCCCCAACAATGTTCATGCCACTTGCTCAATATTTGGCTGCTTTGAGATATCTTTTGCCAGATTAGTCAGTCTACCATGCTTAATCTCAGTCTCAGGCAGTCTCTGGATATGAGCAAAATGCAGACAAATTTTTTGCCAAGCCAAAACACAAACGATCTGGAGTCCAACAATCAGTGCAATACTTTTTCCTAGCAGAAACCCTCTCAACCTGGTCTTCACAGGCAGGATTTCCATCAGCCTTTTGGTCTTCTGAGTTCTGACCACAAAGATGTTCCCCTAGCACTTCACTTGTAGGTGACATCTCCAAACCTTTCCTATCTCTTCCCATAAGCCATTCCTAAAAGCTTGTAATACACATGGTCAGGTTGAGCCACAGCAACAACCCTACTTCTCTGGCACCAAACTCTGCCCTTTTGCTCTCAGCTCTTTGCCACTGCCATGAAAGGTTACTCTCTGCCATGTGCTACTCTGCCTTGGAGCCAGCTGAGTATGGACTGAAACCTCCAGTAACTGTGAGTTAAATAAACCTTTCCTTCCTTCATTTTGAGTGTTGGGTATTTGCCCCAGCAATGAGAGAAGAATAACTGAGACAACTGCTTTTGTGGAAGGTTAGAGATGATGATTTTACAATTAAAACAAAACAAAACCCATTATGAATAATTACCGGCATTAAGTCTAAGTAGGACTCCAGTTTTTTCTTCAAAGGTATAGTCTTTTGTTTCAGCTCTGCCAGTTTCTGGGAATGAAAAAAGTCATAAAGTTAGAGATCATCACAATGAAACTAACTAGTGCCAATTTCTAGCCAGGTGTCTGGCATACTCTTCCAATCGTAGCACTCAGGGAGACAGAAGCAAGAGGAACCAAAGTTTGAGCCCAGCCTCAGAAACTCAGTGTGAAGACCCTGAGTTTAATCCTCCATACTGCACAACACAAAACTTTACAATCCATCACAAAATAAAGCATAAAGATTTTATTATCAAATAAAAAAAATTAAAAAAATAAAAAAAAGATTTTATTATTATTTTTTTTGGGGGGGTGAAACCGGGGATTGAATTCAGGCCCTTGCACTTGCCAGGCAAGCACTTATTCTACTGAGCTATTTCCCGGCACCAAGATTTTATTGCTTTTGCTTTTTGAGACAGTTCTATGTTGCCATGTAGCCCAGGCTGCTCTCAAACTCACCATTCTGCAACCCCAGCCTCCTGAATGCTAAGGTTGCAGGTGTGTGCCACCATTCCTAGCAACATTAAGGTATGTTATGTTATTTATTTTTTGCAATGCTGGAGATTAAACTGAGAGCTTCATGCATGTTAGCAATCACTCTACCACTGACTAGCATTCTCAACCCAGGAATATTTTTAGAAAGGTATCCAACAATTTCAAGGAAATGACACTTAAAATAGGAAAGCTATATTCTCATGTACTAAGAATAAGGCTGATATATCTAGAAACAAAACAATGTGATTGTAAGTTTTTTCACAATATAAAGGAACAATAACAGTCTCAAATACACACACAAATACAAAAAAAGCCACTTAGGAATAAAATAGGCCCACACCTATAACCCCTGGAGAGGCAGAGGCAAGAGGACAGCCACAAGCTCAAGGCCAGTCTGGGCTACATAATGAGAGCCTATCTCAAAAAATAAAATGAAAGGACTGGGAATGTGTCCAAAATCCAGGATTCAGAAGGCTAAGACAGGAGGATTTCTATAAATTAGAGACCAGTGTGGGCTACATAGTAGGAAGTTTAGGGGTAGTTTGAAATACATAGTGAGACCCCATCTAAAACAAAACAAAACAGAACAGAATAAAAATAAGAAAGACAGGGCTGGGGAGACAGCTCAGGTGGAATAAGCACCTGCCTGGCAAGCACAGGATCCTGAGTTCAGTCTCTGGTACCATACACACATACACACACACACACACACACACACACACACACACAGTAGGGGCCTGGGACATGGTTCAGTGGAATAAGCACTTCCCTGGCAAGTGCAAGGGCCTGAGTTCAATCCCTGGTTCCGAGAAAAAAAAAAAGAAGTAAATAAAAAAAGTAATAATAATAAAGACAAAGGCAGTGGTGCACTGCTATAATTCCAGCATTAAGGGAAGCCGAGGCTGACAGATTGCAAGTTCAAGTTCTGTCTGGGCAATTTAGTGATGCCCTATCTCAAGTCATACAACCTAAAAATCCAGATCTGAATTTGGGATTTCAGAAATTTGGGGCCTTATACTTTTACTTACATTAAAAGATAAGAGATGGGGCTGGTGAGATGGCTCAGTGGTCTAAAGCACCTACTTGGAACAAGCTTGGCAAAGCATAGGGACCGCGGTTCAATCCCCCAGCACCACATGCCAGCCAGCCCTGCCCCCTGGTGGACTGAGCTGGCCACACACACACACATAAATAAATAAATAAAATTAAAAAAAAAAAAAGATAAGAGAAGGGGCTGGTGGGATGGCTCAGTGGTCTAAAGCACCTACTTAGAACAAGCTTAGCAAAGCCCTTGGACTGCGGTTCAATCCCCCAGCACCATATGCCAGCCAGCCCCGCCCCCTGGTGGGCTGAACTGGCCACACACACACACACACACACACACACAAATAAATAAAATTAAAAAAAAAAAAAAAGAGAAGCTCCTAAATGTGCATTGTAGAGACAGTCAAGTGTTAGATAAATAAGAAATGACATACTACTGACTCTATCAAAAAGTGTCTAGCCTATGACAACACATGAAGGAAAACAAATGAATGAAGAATATGCACAGCTAAACAGACAACAAAAACATTGGATCAGGGAGATAGCTCAGCAGCATAAGTGCCTCCCTGTCCCGAGTCTGATCCTCAGTATCACAAAAAAAAAGATATATTGGTAAACATAAAGTACAAAAATGGAGCCAGGGATATGACACAGTTGTAGAGCACTTGTGCAGCATGTGCGAGGTCCTGGATTTTATCCCCAGCATGGGAGAAAAAAAGTACAAACGTACAAAAAAAACCAAGCCAAGAGCCAGGTGTGGTGGTACACACCTATAATCCCAGCATTTGGGAGGGAGGCTGAGGGAGGACTGTTCCAAGTTTGACACCAGCCTGGGCTACACAGTGAGTTCAAGGTCAGCATGAACTGCATAGGAGACCCTATCTCAAAAAGACAAAAAAAAAAAAAAAAAAAAAAAAAGAACGAAATCAAGCCTATGCACAAAGGCCCTAAGTAGAAAGATAAAACACACTGTGGACTAATAAAGTCAAATTGGATTAGGCCAAGGAGATATCTCAGTGGAACTAGCACCTGCCTGGCAAGCACAAGGTCCTGAGTTGGATTCCTCATACAAAAAAAAGTTGAATTAGATTAAAGTAAGTGCTACAGTTTGAATGTCCTTCCAAAACTGACATTTAATTGCCACTGTAACAATTAAGTAGTGCACTCTACATGAACAGGTGAGAGGTGGCAGCTTCCACTCTGCTCGATTTGTGGTCACTTGCTTTTTCCAACCATAGCAGAAGGCCCTCATCATATGTAGCCTTGCTCTTAAGACTTTCTAGTTTCCACAGCTATAAACCAAATGCATATCTACTATTTACAAGTATACACGTTAAGGAATTCTGTTATTGCAGCAGCAAAGAAACTAAGATACACTCACCTCTGACAGTACTACTAGGGACTGATGTAACAAAGAAGCATCCATGCCACGAGCTGAAAGTTGCTCCTGTAATTACAAAACAGTGTTCAGTTAGAAAATTATTTTAGGGGCTGGGGATGTAGCTCAGTGGCATTAGCACCTGCCTAGCAAGTACAAGGTCCTGAGTTTGATCTCCAGTACCACAAAAAGAAAAAAAAAATTTTGAAAATGACCCTCATTAAATTATTTCAATATATAATTAGAAGTAGTTTACAAATCACAGATGAAAATTACACACACATCTAGGTCTGTCATTGTATCTGTGAATCCTTTCTACACCCACACATTGTTGTGGTAAGATAGGTGCAGGGCTTCCAGGCCTGCACTGGAGAGTCTGAATGCCCAACTTTGAGTCTGAATCTGCAGCTAAGTAGTTATACAATCTAGGGCAAGTTACTTTTTTTTTTTTTTTTTTTGCAGAACCAGGGATTGAACTCAGATCCTTGCGTTTGCCAGTCAAGTGCTTATCCTACTGAGCCATCTCCCTGGCCCCTTGGGCAAGTTACTTAACCTCTTTGCAGTTCC